ATCCCCTGAGGGCTGCTGGGCTGCCAGAGGGATGTCTGACTGCCAGCTTGGGCCCGATCCCTCAGGGAGCGGGCCTAAGCCAGCAGGTGGACATCCTCTGAGAGGTTCCAGACTGTAAGAGGGAATAGGCCGGGCTGAGGGACCCCCCTGAGTGCACAAATGTTTGTGTGCCTCTAGTTATAAAAAATGCTACTATAGACATAGGGGCCCATATATTCTTTCTGATTGGTGTTTCAAGATTCTTAGGATATGTTCCCAGAAGTGGGATAGCAGGGTCAAATGGTAGTTCCAGTTTTAATTTTTTGAGGAAAATCCATACTGTTTTCCATAGTGGCTGCATCAGTCTGCATTCCCATCAACAGTACATAAGGATTGTCTTTTCTCCACATCCTTGCCAGCACTAGTTATTTGTGATGTATTGATAGTAGCCATTCTGACAGGTGTGTGGTGATACCTCATTGTAGTTTTTATTTGCATTTCTCTGATAATTAGTGACCTTAAGCATTTTTTCATATAGGCCATCTGTATGTCCTCTGTGGATAAGTGTGTATTCAGATCCTTTGCCCATTTTTTAATTGGATTGTCTTCCTGGTGTTGAGTTATAGAAATCTTTATATATTTTGGAAATTAACCCCCTATGTGATGTATCACTGATGAATATGTTCTCCAAACAGTGGGTTTTTTTCATTTTGTTGATGGTTTCTTTTGCTATGCAGAAGCTTTTTAACTTGATGTAGTCCCATTTATCTATCTTTTCCTGAGTTTCCCTTGATATTGTATACTAGAGGCCCAATGCACAAAAATTTGTGCAAGAGTTAGCCTTCCTTCCTCTAGCTGCTGGCACCAGCTTCCCTCTGGCACCCGGGACCTGGGCTGCTTCCCTCCTCTGTCCTCCCACAGGCACCCGGGACCCGGGCTGGCTTCTCTCGGGTCATCTGCAGGTACCCAGGACTGGCTGGCTTCCCTTTAGCACTGGCTTCGTCAGGAAGGATGTCCAGAAGATGTCCAGTCTAATTAGCATATTACTCTTTTATTATTATAGATAGAAAACCCTAAAGACTCCACCAAAAAACTACTAGATCTGATAAATGAATTCAGTAAAGTTGCAGGATACAAAATCAACACCCAGAAATCGATGGCATTTTTGCACACCAGTAATGAACTATCTGGAAGAGAAATTAACAAAACAACCCCATTTATTATTGCAACAACAACAAAAATATTAGGTAGCCAGGGATAAATTTAAGGAGATAAAAGACCTGTACTCAGAGAACTATATGACATTGAGGAAAGAAATTAAGGAAGATAATAAATGGAAGCATATACCATGTTCATGGATTGAAGAATTAATATCTTTAAAATGTTCATACTGCCTAAAGCAGTGGTCGGCAAACTGCAACTCGCGAGCCACATGCGGCTCTTTGGCCCCTTGAGTGTGGCTCTTCCTAAGCCTTAGGAGTACCCTAATTAAGTTAATAACAATGTACCTACCTATATAGTTTAAGTTTAAAAAATTTGGCTCTCAAAAGAAATTTCAATCGTTGTACTATTGATATTTGGCTCTGTTGACTAATGAGTTTGCCGACCACTGGCCTATAGCAATCTACAAATTCAACACAATTCCTATTAAAATACCAATGGCATCTTTCACAGAACTATAAGAAACATTTCAAAAATTTATATGAAACCCAAAAAGACCCCAAATAGCCATAGCAATCTTGAGAAAGGAGAACAAAGTTTGAGGTATCACAATACTGGATATAAAACTATATTACAAGGTCATTGTAATCAAAACAGCTTGGTATTGGTATAAGAACAGGAATATAGACTAGTGGAACACAACAGAGAGTCCAGAAATCAACCCATTCCTCTATGGTCAATTAATATTTGACAAAGGAGGCAAGAGCATACAACAGAATAAAGACAGTGTCTTCAATAAATGGTATTGGGAAAATTGGACAGGCACATGCAATAAAATGAAACTAGACTACCACACCACATGCAAGAATAAACTCAAAATAGATAAAATACTTAAATGTAAGTCACAAAAAATCTAGAGGAAAACATAGGCAGTAAAATCTCACACATCTCTCACAGCAATATTTTTGTTGACATTGTATTATGTGAATCACATTTGACATTTACATCACATCTTCACGATGGTCAGTTTTACAAAATAGTTGAGGTTTTACTCATTTTTCTTTGGGCCTTTCAGATTCTTGAATATTAAACTCCTTCTGTAGTGAAATTCCTATCTTGGCACCAACTTAAAATTTTTCTCTTAAATGATTATTTCCCATCAAACTGCTCACTCCCCATTTGTCATTGCTTCAATCTGTTTTTGGGCACGTTACCTAATGTCATTTTGATTAACCTCATATGATTCTGTATTTGTGGGGAATATTTGCAACTTTACCTTGCAATGGACGTCGTTGGAAGTATAGATGCTGATGGTGAACAAGGACAGAATTTAGAGTGGGAGTTCAAGTCATGAAATGGTTGTTTATTAGGAAGTATTTTAGTGTTTTAAAGGAATGCTTCCTTGGAAAAGCTCCTATCCATGCAGGGATTTGAATAATGACTCCTCAAATAATGAGGACACCCTGTTTTATTTGCATGAATTCATTGCAGTATGCTCTGTAGAAAAGAGAACAGATAATGACTGTGGAAATCCCCATGCTTGTCTCAGTTCTGTTAGTGAGGCATTGTATGATCAGGACAAGTCATTTCATTTCTTTTGGTATAATTTCACTAGTCTGTAAAGCAAAGGTTGAGCTAAAGTCCCTTCTAATCACAACATTCTGTGATTGGATATTTTAAGAGCTTTATCATTATTTTCATAGAATCCTAGAATTTAATAGTCATCAACCCACTCCTTCTTTTAGTTATATCTATATATATAAACGGCAAAGCAACCATCCAATGGGATCATCCAGCCGACAGCTATAATACACAATGACCACCAGGGGGCAGATGCTCAACATTGGAGCTGCGGAGCTTCTGTGACTTGGTAGTGAGGGTTCCCAGGTGATGCACCCCAGAACCAGAGAGGAGGGAACCCGATTCTGGGGTGCGTCACCCGAGAACCACCCTCTCTCAATCTAGAACCCCTCAGGGGATGTCGGAGAGCTGGTTTCGGCCTGATCCCCACAGGCCAGGCCGAGGGACCCCAACTACCAGAGGGACCCCCGCTCACTCTACAATACCCTTTGAGCTGTGGCACTGGGGAGGAACCGAGGGAGGTTGGCTCCAGGGCGTGTCCAGCCCATCTCACCCAGCCCTGCCCCGCCGGCCACCTTCTAATTAATTTCCTTTCTATGTGCATGAATTCGGGCACCAGGGCACTAGTATATAGTATGTATATATTATAATTTCAGTAGCTACTTCCATATGTAATCATATTTTTGGTAAAGTTGTAATCAGCACTTTCTAACAAATTTAAATTCTGCTCTTTTCAATAGTGTTATCTCTTATAAGTTTTTTCCTATTTTTTTCTTTTTCACATTTATCTGTTTTAATGGCTGCTTGATAGTTTATTGAGTACATATGTTTTAATATATTTAAATATATTTTGCCCAATACATTCTGGCAACTGAATATCTCTGTACATTGGAGTTTTGGGGGAGTTTGGAGAGCCATGTTACTATAGATATCTCTATAGTAGACAATTTTGTCAAAAATGGATCTCACATGTAGTATAGTCCTGGGTGCATTTCAGTACTTAAATGCCTTTTGCTGCTGCTGTAAATAGGAAGAAACAAACTCAGGCAAAGTGTCTGGCTGAGTGAAGCAGAGGAAGGAACAAGGAAAACGAATTGTGTTTTGCTGCTGCTGAGGAGGGAAAATCCTGGGGAGTCTGGCATTTAATAACAAAGGAAGCAGAGATCAACTCAGAAAACCAGATTCTGGATGTCATCCTCAGGTACCTGGCTGCCCCTGAACATCATACCTATTATCCAATCACCTGGGAAAGTTGGTGACTCGTGACTCCTGATACTGTCTGGTCCAGAGAACAAAGCCAGAGAAGAGGCCAACTCAAGGAGCAGATGTATTCACAGCAGCAAAGTAGCCACAGACTAAATGAGTTAATCGTACATTGTTAAAAATTACAGCATTTGCATTTTAACCCCAGACCTTGGACATTTTCAGTGCACCCTTGGGGAATAATAATTTGTTCATCCATTATAACTGGATCTGCTACCTCTTATCAAGATAAAGGAAACTTGGCTCTATCAGTGGTCGGCAAACTGTGGCTCTCAAGCCACATGCGGCTCTTTGGCCTCTTGAGTGTGGCCAGGAAGTTTCAATCATACCATACGTGTGCGCCCGCACGTGGTATTTTGTGGAAGCGCCACACTGAAGGGGCCAAAGGGCTGCATGTGGCTTGCGAGCCGCAGTTGGCCAACCACGGGTCTAGGGTAATTGCACAGCCAGAAACTCGAAACTAATACAAAATAATATTAAACGTACACTGTAATTTAAAAAATAAAATGTAAAAAGAAAAAGATAAAAGAAGCATACTGCACACTTTTCCCTTCCTACTTATAATATCAACTTTGGTCTGTGCATGTGGTCACTTCCTCCGCACATGTGGGTGAACTGTTTGCAATGCTTGTTTCACATAACCTGTCAAAATACCGTGGTGGTTATTGGGCAAGAAAAGGAACTAAGCTTTGATGAAATTAGGGTAACCTAGTTGTTTAAAGTAGCTAATGCAAATGTTTCAAGTTAAGTCAGGTTAAGGTAGATTCAGTAAAGGCAAGTTTAGTCATGATTCAAATTGCCAACTAGAAAAAAACTAGAGAATTATAAAAATTACATGTCCATTTTAAATTTCACTGTGGTAGGTCACATGGGACTGAAGCATGCTGATAAACTAGGAGAAGTTCATATTTTCAGAGGTTGACTTAAGCACAACTAATTTGTTCTCTGTCATGTATGTGAACGTTTCTCAGCTTTGGAAGTTACATCCTACAATTCCTTATTTTTTTTTCTTCCAGATTCTAGCTACATTGAAGACTGGTTGTTTTCTAAAACTAGAGAAGTCCATGAAGTGATGGTGACTTTTTTTTGAAGTTCGAGTACTAGAATAAAAGGTAATTGTTGATGATTTCAGAATTTGTTTGCAATACTATGGTAGAGGCTTTCTACAAACAAAAAAACAAGACTTCGAATATCTTTTTCTCACCAAAAAATAACTAGTATCATTCTGGTTTAGTTATGATTTTTAAAAACAAAACCTACCATGTCTTTCTTAAATAAGCGTTTGCAGGTAGGTATACCTGAGGATTACAGTGTAACCCAGCTAGGCAGTTTACTCCTTTTCTTAGACCACATCCCCAGGCACATCCCCCATGCCTGTTCTGTGTGACATCCCACATTTAGAGAGAAAATGTGAGAGTCCAGGCATAAGTTATAGAAAGACAGCTACAGTGTAGGGACTCATTTTAATGACACACAAATTTGGTAAAACCTAATAATCAGCTGCTTTCCTATTTTCCCCAGTCCCAGCTCATTTAAGCCTTGTGACAACTGATGGTCTCACGTTACAACAGCAGTTATTTCTTTGGCTGGGCTCCTGGAGCAGCTCCTCTCTCCCAGCCAGCTAATCCTAAGCTGGTTATCCTCTCCATGTCAGAATTATTTTATTTTATTTTTTTATGGATGTCCTCAGTTTTCCTATTTCCCAGAACTCTCAGCCAGGAGCTTACGTCTCAGAAACTGTTTTCCAAAAGATCATCTTTCTAAAATCTATTCACAATATTTTTTTCTTAGGGACAATCACAATTCGTGCTCACCAGTGCTCAAAGTAGCAATTTATTCTCCCCTCTTCTTTAATGTTCTGCTTAATGGCTGGATTTAGTTAAAAAGAAACCATATTTAAATTCATACTAATATACTTTTTAAAAAAAAAAAACTGATTTCAAAGAGAGACAGAAACACTGATGTGAGAGAGAAACATCAATCGGTTGCCTCCCACACGTGCCCTGACCAGGGGTTGAACCCTCAATCTGGGTATGTGCCCTTGACCAGGAATCGAATTGCAATCTTTTGGACAGTGCTCCATCCAACTGAACCATACCAGCCAGGGCATACTGATATACTTTTTAATCATGTTGGTCCTAGGGTCAGTGAGTTGAGGTTATAAAGAAATATTAGGAGAATTTTTGAAATCTCTGACTGTCTAATGTTCAGGTTACTTTGCCTGGAGATAGCTCTCCCTGGAGAGAGATGTTTGCATAGAAATTGGACACCTGTCTGACCAGGATATTGCTGAAGGGGGAGCTTGGCTGAATTGGGAAGAAGGTTTTCTAGGTCTGTTTCATCCCAAAGGAATTCTACAGTTTCTCAATTGATGGTCCAAAGGAAGCAAAGGGTTCCGCGAATTAAACTAGATTATTGCACTTGTAATTTCTGGTGCGTCTATCATGGTTTTGGGGTGACTGTCTTGATACTCTCATTCTGAAGCATATTTCCTGAAGGGCTCCCTCTTAGACCTCATGACCTTGGAGGGCTGTCCTGAGAGAGAAATTTTTGTGGAAACACTTCCGAGGTGATGTGCTCAGGGGGTGCTTCAGGGCAACTGTCTGAAGCTTGTGTGTGGTTTGCTAGGTTGGGAGGGAGGTTACCATGAGTTGATGATATACCTGGCTGTTAGGATCTTAGCTTGGTCTTTGAACCCCACCCACTCTGCCACCCAGGTTCCCCTAGTGTCTCCCTAGGCCAAGCCTCTCATTGACTGTTCCTTGGGGACAGCAAGGGCATCAACATTAAACATGAGAAAAGCACCATGTGCGAACCATTTGTGAAAATATCTAAATGTCCGTGACCATCTATGGAGGTAATATACACTTGAGCACTTGAGCCTATAAAGGCATACTTGAGTTTTAATCAAATTTTTATGCTCTCATTCCTCACGAAACTGCCCTTATTCCAGCAGGAAGTATTTCCTCCTCCTTCCTTCTAAATGCCACGTCACTTTGTCCTTATTTTATGTCATTGGTTTGGTTCCTCTTATTTTATTTTTTATTTTATTATTTTAGTATGAAAAACTTTCTTATCTCCTGTTTATTCCCCTAGAAACCCATTTGTTCTTTTCATAGATGCTTTTCACCTTCTCTAATACTAAATTAGGTATATAAGTTCTATCTTTAGCTGTTTGTTTATTTTTTTAATATATTTTTATTGATTTCAGAGAGGAAGGGAGAGGGAGAGAGAGATAGAAACATCAATGGTGAGAGAGAATCATTCGGCTGCCTCCTGCATGCCCTCTACTGGATATTGAGCCCACAACCCAGGCATGTGCCCTTGATTGGTATTGAACCCGGGACCCTTTAGTCCACAGGCCAGTGCACTCTATCTGTTGAGCCAAACCAGCTAGGGCTATTTAGCTGTTTAGAGAGCCAGTTTTTTTGTGCAGTCCAATATTTTGAAACTCCCACCCCCTTAATCTGTTAGTTTCAGTTTAATTCGAAGGCCTCCAGAGTAGAAGAAAAGTTTGTCCTTCCCCAAACTATTCTATTTTTATTTATTATCATTTTTTTCTGCCATTTTTTTGGATTTAAGTATTTTGTAATATTTATTTTACCTCCTATATTAGCATATTAACTGTCTATTTATTTTTTTCCTAGCTTCATTAGGGTTACAGTAAGCATCTTTAACTTACCACAGTCTGCCTTCAAATAATAATATACCACTTGATGTATAATATCAAGTGTTATAAGGGCTCATGGTAATATACCTCCATTTTCCTCTGCTCCTGTCCTTTGTGCTATTGTCATACTTGTTGCATTTATTTAAGTTGTAAAACCCACACTTCATTGTTGTTAAATTTGCCTTAAATAGTCAATTTATCTTTTAAAGAGGAAAAGATATTTTGTGTTTATCCAAATCCTTCCAGGCTTTTTTTTAAATTCTTTATTGTTGAAAGTACTACATATGTTCCCCTTTTTCCTCCATTGATTCTCTCCAGCCAACCCCCTCCCCACCAGCCCCACTTTCCCACTCTATTGTCTGTGTCCATGCTTTATACATACATGCATACAAGGTCTTTGGTTGATTACCTCCCACCCATCCACCCACCTTCCTCTGCCTTTTCTCTGAGATTCTGTTCCATGCTTCCATGTCTCTGGATCCACGTCATTCATTAGTTTATTTTGTTACTTAGATTCCACATATGAGTGAGATCATATGATACTTGTCTTTCTCTGACTGACTTATTTCACTTCAAATGATACTCTTCAGGTCCCTCCATGCTGCCTCAAAGGGTAAGAGATTCCTCTTTTTTACTGCTGCATAGTATTCCATAGTATAAATGTACCACAGCTTTTTTATCCACTCATCTACTGATGGGCACTTGGGCTGTTTCCAGATCCTAGCTATTATAAATTGTGCTTCAATGAAC